AGTTTCTTCTGTGTTCTAAATTTTAACATATGAAGTTTTAAAATTTTACCAAAAATTCTAAAGTAAAGCAATTCATTTTCAAACCCATGTTCCTTTTTTCTCCTCTAAATTATTGTGAAAAGAAATCAAGTAGCTTTTCTTTGACATTTGTTAATTATATTCTAATAAAATCAACTTGGCAGTGTTCACTAGGCAAAATGTAACATTCCAAGGCAAGTACACTGGTTCTAGATAAAAGAAACGATATTTATATACTGTGTTTTTCCAGGTTGGAAAAAAAAGGGTGTAATGATTATTTGATAGCACTCCTTCCAAAAAGGTACATTAAGTTTTCTTTTCAGAAGAGGAATGGCAGATTGAAATCATAACTAATTTCCAAGAAAATGAAAGAGTTGTAGTTCAGGAAATCACTGGCAGCTTCGCTTAGCTGTTCTCTCTCCTTTGCAAGAAATTAAGACAATGGAAAACTATCCAAATCCAGGAACAAGATACAGATAGCCTGCATCTGATCAGCATGAACAGGCAGAGTTAAAAAGCAAAGTAAATTGAATTGTCAGTAACTATTTTTCACATCTGCAATCACTGGGAGCTAAAAGCTTATTTCTTCTCTTTGTGCTCATCTTTCAGAGCACAGATATCTGTCTTTTAACATCAGAAATCTGGTAGAGTTCAGTAATCTTTCATATAAGGTATGCCAAGGTTCTGATTTCATTCCTTCTGGCCTTCTCAAGGCGAGGAAAGGTAGATGGCTGGCAGTGGCCCTCTCAGGCATGGGGCGATCAGTAGAGTGATGGTGGCCACGGAAAACTGGCCCTTCTTTTGTGCATCCAGTTGAGACTACAATGTTTGGGGTAGCACATATCAAGGACGAATTCTTATGAAATGTGAGCTTTGGTACATATCTCATTCTCAAATACCAGACTGTATTAGCAGGGTACTGCTTTTGCAAATTTCTTATGTTAAAGTCCAAGAAACAGATCAAATATACACTCAGAAACATCTTAATCCAAAATGCACTCTCTTTGGAATGTTTTCAAATAGCAACGAAATATGCACAATTAATTAATGCCTTAATGATTTTTTAAACTGTTCTTACAACTTTTTCCAAGTCTTTTGAAAACACACAACACACCCTTGCCCAGGGCCTAATGTCTGCCTTGGATATATCCTGCAGGATTTGTCTGATTTGGGGGAAGAGTATTTAAATGTTATAAGAAATCACAGACATACTATTCCATTTAGGGTTCCTAAAAATTTCCACTGGCAGCTCACTAAATGTCTTAATCTCTTTATGAAAGAGCATAGAGTACTATATTACTGTACTTTTAAGAGTTAAGGATGCTACCTCAACCTGTTCAGTCTATTTATATTATTTTAGGTGCCTATCACACATATGACAACCTCTTCCCTAGGAGTGAGTCATCTGCCTTCTAATTAAACAAAACAATAGGATTTTGTTATGTAATACTGATTTTCTAGTTTTTCTTTTCTAACCACTTTTTACTAATTTAACTAGACAAAATATCCTTGATATTACTTTATATATTTGTAGTCAACATATTTTTCATAATCTTAGTGAATAGTGGGTTGGAAATTGGATCTTTAAGTATTTTGCATTAATCTCTTCCCACTTGAAAATACTTTTACACACTTGAAAACATTTGAAAAGTCTACAGTAATTGGATAATTTGAGATCATAACTAAAACTTCAAATGAACCATAAATTATAGCTGCAAGGGTCTTTGGTGATTAAGTATAGAAACTAGGTTTCCTGGCATTCTTTAAATTCAAGGGGAAACTTGTTTGAGTGGGTTAACCTGAAACAGTCCAATTCCAGAAACAACAAGAAAACAAGCAAACACTAATAAAAGACAGAGTGCAATTTAATCTTTTTCCTGCTTAATCCAAGAGAAGAGAGAAGAACAAAAGGACTAGAGAGACTTAGAAAAGTTTCTAAAACAAAACAAAAAGCACAGTATCTCTCCTCTCCATCCCCATCTTTATTTAAAATTAAGTAAAGTGTCAAGGCAGTATAATATGTTAAATGTCAAATGAATAACTAGACCTACACTATCCAATATCGTAGCCACTAACCAAGTGGCTACTGAGCATTTGAAATGTTGCTTGTTCAATCTGAAGACATAGAACTAAAATAATCTCATTTAATATTTTTATATTGATTGCACATTGAAATGATATTTTTTTCATGTTTTGGATTAAATATATTATTAAAATTAATATCATGTGCTTGTTTTACTCTTTAAATGTGGCTACTAGAATATTTAAAATTAAATATGTGGCTCACATTAGGCTCACATTATATTTTTTACTGTATAAAGCTAGACAAGACAGTAAGTACTATGAAGCCAGAAGAAGAAATCACTATGTCTTGAAGAGCATGAAGATACCACACTGAAAGGAAGGAAAGGAGAAAAAAACAGGAACCATATTATATGAAAAGAAAGAAGAGGGATCCTCAAGATCACTAGATGAGGGGGTATTCTGAAAGAAATTATTCCTCCTCACGTGACAGTAGAAAGTCACAGTCCTGAAAATACACATATACAGAAACGGGAGAAATCAAGCAGCCTATCTTCCACAATGAGTTAGTTAGAAAGCTGCAAGACTTGCAGGACACAAAAAGGAACTTGGTTGTTTTTGTTCACTGCTCTATCTTCAGTACTCAAGTGTGTCAGGCATGTAAGAGACACCTAAAATAAATATTTGTTAAATGAATGAATGAGCTAATTAACTACTCTAGAAAACGGTGGTGCTTTCCTGTAAACTTTAAGGCGGGGACACTAGGAGAGGCAGTAAAGAGGGAGAGCGTTAAGAAAGGAGAATGCATCCAGCCATATTAGTACCTGCCAGAGCTAATTAGGCTCACTTCTTGTATCGTTCAAGAAAATGAGGTGAAAAGATTAAAATACAAAACCAGTCTCTCAACTCTGCATAATTTTGGATCTATTACCTGAGGACTTGAAGTGAAGGAATACACCTCCCTCAGCATCGAAACCGCAATTCCGCTCGGAGGAAAAGCAGACAAGGCTGCATCCACAAGGGTAGGAATAGCCCCATCTTCCAGGGTCATACACAAATGGCAGCAGCACCCCCCCTAGAGACGACGAGTGGTCTTCCTCACACGAAAAGGAAGGGTTTTTTCCTTCTCCCTGTCTTCTCCCCTATTTCCTCCTAGAATATCTGGAAATACACCCTGACATACAGAAAAATTAGAGACCTGGCATAGTCTGATATGGAAATGGTTAGGTGAAAAATATGCGTGTATACCCAAAGGGTAGAGAAAACTAGTTTCTGTTGGTTTTACTATATTATGTACTACAATTGTAGTAATGGACAACCATAAAACAACATACACAGAGCTCTGAACGAGAAAATTCTGACCCACAAGTTTTCTACCCAGCTAAATAGTAATTCACACATGAAGGCAAAAGGAAGAGAGTTTGTCCACGTTTTACGAAAATTTGAATTATGTCTATTTAAAACATATGACAGACTATTCATCAAGTCCTAGTTTATGCATACAATTCTTTAAAAGATTACTAACAGCCCGGCCGGGTGTGGCTCAGCGGTTGAGCGTCGACCTGGGATCCAGGCGATCGGGGTTCGATTCCTGGTCAGGGCACATGCCCAGTTGCGGGCTCGATCAATGACTCTCTCATCATTGATGTTTCTGCCTCTCTCCCTCTCCTTTCCTCTCTCTGAAATCAATAAAAATATTTTTTTTTTTTAAAAAAAGAAAAGATTACTAACAAAATATAAAACTATGTATTCCTTTCAAATCACATAAGAAAAATGTTAAAGAAAATATATTTAATGTTGGGAAGAAAGCAAAGAAAACAGAAGACGGAAAAGAAGACAGAAAAGAAATAGAAAACATTTTAAAATCTTTCAGATTACCAATTATACAGTAAATACATTTACCAATTAAAAATCCCTTGAATATGATTTTTTTAAGTGTCTACAAGTGACACATTTAAAACAAATAGAAAGTTTAAGAGGAAAAGGTAAAGATAAAAAGAAAACAGACCTGCCCATCCGGGCATGGCTCAGTAGTTGAGTGTCGACCTAGGATCCAGGAGATCGAGGTTTGATTCCCCATCAGGGCACATGCCCGGGCTTTCTGGCTTGATCCCCAGTAGGGGGAGTGCAGGAAGCAGCTGATCAATGACCCTCTCCCTTCCTCTCTCTGAAATCAATAAAGATATATTAAAAGAAAACAGGTTTTACATCAAAGTAGAACCCAAGACATAAAAACATTACATGAGAAAAGAAGATTGTTTTTTTAAATCCACAACTCATACAACTTCATGTGCTAAATAACAGTGCTAAAATATATACAATGTAAAAACTGTTAAATATGTAAAAAGAAATGGCTATAAATTTAGAAGTATATAGGAAGGCTTTTTAGACATGCAATTATAGTTGGCAAAAATATAAATAAGGTTAAATAAAAGTCATTTAATGTCAAATAATACAAAACGTGTATAACTGATAAGAGTTTTAACTTAAAAACAAAAGTAAAATGATAAAAATTGGGTTTTTTAAGAATGTTCTTTTGTACAGTTATGTGAAGGATAAGAGTGAAAGGACTGAAAATAGGAAGACAATCTTCCTGAATAAAAGAATGAATGGTAATCAAAATTCCACTGCCCAGGGTAGTCCAATAATTAAATACATTTCTAGGAAATGTCACCTTAAGAAGGCTTATTCCCATCTGGATGTACAGTTGTTTAATCTTTATAGTAAGAAGTACTTTCACATTAGTATTACTTTCACCACTGTAACAGATAGGAAGGACAGTGATATTTAGATAAGAACAAAAGAGAAACTCTTAGAAGCTAGAAAGGAGCATGACTCAAGGAGGGAAATTCCTATTGTTGGTGTATAAAATTCTCTATATATGCCAACTAAGAATTCGCTTCCACATTCAGCCTTTCTACTCCTTCCAAGAGACCAAAGCTGAAGAAGCAGCAACAGACATGAATGTGAAGAGCATGACTATAGTCTTGGCTGTGATACTCTGTGCTACAGCTCTTCAAGGTATATGGTACTTTTTACTTCTCAGCCTATAAATCTCTTTTCTAATTTGTCAAATGTCTTTTCTTCCACTTTTATACTAAAAGATATACTAAATTTTTATTTAACCTCACACATCAGAAGTTACTGCAGCTTTGACAGAGAATGTAAGAAATGTGTGAGGCATTAAGAGATGATTATTGAAACTAGAGATGATAAACTTCATAGAACTGTTTTATTTGTCCACAAAATCTGGTAAGAGCCTTCAGCAATCATTTAAAATGTCTGTTAAAAAGAGTTTTGAGAGATAACGTTACTAGCTTCCTAGAAAAATTCTTGAGCACATAAACAAGAGACAAATATGCTTGCTCTCTAATAAACTTCTTCCATACTTTCCTCTATTCTTTAATGATCTACTTACACATTTAAAGAGAAAATCATTAACATATTACTAAAGCTCCTTTCCCAGTAACAGCAGTGCCAAGTGCTATTTGACAAATTACCATCTTTATCCTTAATGGAAATCTGGCTCCCATTCTTCACCAGGGTTATAAACCAGTCATCTGCTGCAATCAGAACCATTAGTAATGGATGCTATGATCCATTTTAGGTTTCCCAATGTTCAAAGCGGGACGTTGTCTTTGCATAGGCCCTGGAGTAAAGGCAGTTAAAGTGGCAGATATTGAGAAAATCTCTGTAATTTACCCAAGTAACAACTGTGACAAAACAGAAGTGATGTAAGTAATGGAATTACTAAAGATGACAATGGTAGAGGCATTTGGGTTTTTTTTTGCTTATGCTTTTCCATCTAAAATTTAAGACTGTTTTGGATCTTCCCTTAATAGTATCACCTTGAAAGCACATAAAGGACAAAGATGCCTAAATCCCAGATCAAAACAAGCAAACATTATAAAAAAGGTAGGTTACGAGATTACTTCTGTTTTATAATGTTTTATCCATGACAGATCTTTTGAAAAAATAGACAACTGCAGAAAAGATTCTATGATCTTGTGTGAAGTGTTTTGATAAGGGGTCTTTGGTTATAGTTTTTCTTTCTTGCTATATGTTTTTATAGGTCAACTCTTAATCACTGAGAAACAAGAACATCCCAAGCTTATAGAATTCTAATTTTCTCATTACAGGAAGTTGAAAGAATGAATTTCTTAAAACATCAAAATATCTGAAGCCCTGGAAAAAAGGATATGAAAACTCAGAACAAGTCTAACTGTGACGACGAAATGACAAGAATTCTGTAATACGGAAATGACTTTCCGCTGCCTATTGCAATGCACATTCATGCATTTGCAGGTTAGGGAACTGTCTAGAAAATTTGATGTTTATAATTATTCTGTTGTGACAATGAAAACATTTCTGTCTCTCTAAGTTATCTGTCTGTACTTGATTTATATTCCATATTACAATTTGCAGTTATAATGGAGACATTATTACTGAAGTCAAGATCATATGAGTCAAAAGCATCCATGTATATAAGAAATATTCCCCTCAAATTTTTAATGCAAATCCACATTTCTTTTCCCAAAAACCACACAGCACATATATATCTAGGGAAAAAGTTCTTATCTATCATCTTGTTTTATAAAAAGGCTGTAATTCATGAAATGTACTATGAAAAAAAACTATAAGCTAAGGGAAACTGGTAAGAAGGCAAATATTTCATAACTGAATTAGCAGCTCTGGTCTTAATTTGATTTTAACAACTTTGTTTCTCATTGATATGTTTTAAAGTAAGGAGGATATGTATGTTTACTGAGCATTTGGATTTTATCTATTTTTATAAATTACAGCAATATTTTGGACACATTTTAAATATAAAATGTTTTTGTCTACCAAAAAAAATGTTGAAAAATAAATATATGTGCATATGTGGTAATCACCTTTACTTTCTGTGATTCTTTTTCTTAGGAAAATATATAATCTTATCTTTTTAAGTCATGCCTATACTTAACAATTTAGGGATATCAAAATGATTTTTTCTAATAAAGTACCACAACTTCTTTTATATTGATGGGTATAGGATAGCCAACAATTAACATTTACAGCACACAGAGATAGTATTTGGACAACAATATAACAATGAGGGGTTCTGAGGTCTCTGCTCTAGTGGGAGATTGTGACCTGAGGGGTCTGGAAAAGGAGATTGCTCTGAAATTCCAAAGGTGTGTTATCTTAGATGCAAAGACAAAAGAGATGCTCAGTTGAGGTAAAGATTGACCTTTGTCAAGGGAGATACAGGCCTAGGACATGACTACACACGAGAACTCACTTTTAGTTAGGAAGTTTTCATCTCAGACCATCCTATGTAGTTACTTTAGGTCTCTAAGTTTGTAAGGCCCTCTATGCAGATCTCTTCTAAGCTTGTCAGATTTAGTATGTGGCCCCTTTTTTGTCAACACTTTGTAATATAGAAACAATCATGTGTCTTCCAAAAATTTGATATGCCTGTAACAACTTCACCTTGTTTTTCAAAAAGCATACAGCTATCTGTCATCACACAGAATTGTTTAGAAATATATTTTAATGGGTAGCTGTGAAGGAAAAATTGTTTCTTTTTTTAAGAGGTCTTCCTAAATCCAAAACCCCTTCTTACTTGGGGCAAATTCCTTATTATGTGAGTCTTGGTGGGAGGCAAAAAAGGAGAAGCCAAAGGAAGATCTTTCCTGGTAGCCAGACAAGGTCTCAGCCAGGCCACTCCTACCCTAGACTTTGAACTCCAGCTAACACCTCAAGTAACCTATCAGTAAGAAAATTACTTAACCTGGCAGTAGTAACAGTGTAAGTCCTAACACATGTTTGTGTAGCATGACTAGCCAGTCTTTCTTGCCACCTAGCTCCCTTAGGTTTTTATCCATTTCCAAGCCTGATTCTTCAGTCTTCCTTTGGATTCTTCAACTACCAATTAAATTCCTTTTCTGCTGAAGTTAGCCAGAGTTGATTTCTCTGCATGACCAAAAACCTTAGCTGAGACAGCATTCTTTATATAGATACCTATACATTTGAAAAATAAAAATATTTGTTACAGAATTACCAAAAAAGGGTTTCTCTGCTTATTTGAAAAAAAAAAAAAAGAACAATTTTACAATATGGAACAATCTTGAAAACTTTATGCTAAGTGAAAAAAGCCAATTACAAAAGGCTGCATGTTTATGATTCCATTATACACAATGTCCAGAATAGGCAAACCTAGAGACAGAAAGTAGGGTAGTTATTGCCTAGGGATAAGAGATAATAATAAGTGACTGCTAACAGATACGGGGCTTCTTTTGGGGGTGATAAAAATGTTCCAGCCCTGGCGGGGTGGCTCAGTTAATTAGAGTGTCATACCATACACCAAAAGGTTGTGGGTTCGATTCCCAGGCACATACCTAAGTTGATGTGTCTCTCTCACATCGATGTTTCTTCCCCCACCATCCCCTTTTCTCACCCACATTCTAAAAAAAAAAAAAAAAAAATCAATGGAAAAAATATCCTCGGGTGAGGATTAAAAAAAAAGAGAGAGAAAGAACAATTTTAATGTACCTTGTATGTATCCTTCCCATTGATATCAAAGAGCCAACCATAAAGCAGATCAGAACTGACAGAAAAGTAAACAGCAGAGGGGGATGCCTGGAACCTAACAGGCCCTCTCATTGACTGGCTTTTTGACGGGTACCTACAAGCAATAATAAGAAGCCAAAACGTTATCCAGGGGATTTATATATAAGTTTATATAACCTGTATCATATATTTATACTGTGATATAGGATATAGATGTATACAGTATAAATATATGACATATAATAGTATAAATTTATAATATAGTATAAACATATTAAATACAGATATATACTATAAACACATAACATATAATATAAATATATTATATATCATAAATCTACATAAGTTTCTATATAGAAATGGGACTTCTATATAAATTCCCAAGATAGTTTCAAGACTTGGGGCTAATATTTTACTATTTTCAGGTAATTTTTTTTTTTAGAGTATCTTTAAAAATAAAAATTCATTGAGTTAGCACTACATGATAAATTTTTTAAAGTAATGAGTCCCCTAGCATTGTCCCACACTTTGGGAAATACTGGTCTGAAAAGTAGTAAGAGCAATATGTTAAAAGAATTACCATATGACCCAGCAATTCTACTCCTAGATACAGGTTGCCCCCCCCCAAAAATGTATACACACTTAACAGCTGACAGCGCAATTGATGTTTCTTTTCAGATTTAACCCATTGGAATTAATAATATTGGGGAGGAGGAATCTTAAGTATGTAGTTCAGTATGATGTAGTTCAATAAGTGCATGTTATTCCATGTTTTAGATCATCATTTAGTTTTCTTCAAGCTGTTATTGAGTATTTTTCTTATGAAATTAATAATTCAAAGTGTGTACACTTTTGGGGGAAACCCTGAATATACCCCAAAGAATTGAAAACAGTTGTCCAAGCAAAAATCTGTACACAAACGTTCATACCGCACTATTCACAACAGCCAAAAAGTAGAAACACCCAAAATGACCATAAACAGATTAATGGATAAAGAAAAATGTGGTACATAAACACAATGGAATATTATTCAGCCTTAAAAAGGAATGAAATATCAATACATGCTACAGCATAGATGAATCCCAAAAACATTACACTAAGTAAAAGAAGCCAGACACAAAAGGCAACATATTGTATGATTACATTTATATGAATGCCCAAAATAGGAAAATCCATGGAAACAAAAAGCAGATTAGTTGCCAGGAGCTCTGAGAAGGAGGTAATGAGAAATGACTGCTTAGTGATTACAAAGTTTCTACTCCAGATGATGAACAAGTTCTTGAAGTAGATAATGGAGATGCTTACACAGCACTGTCAATGTACTTGATGCCACTGAATTGTACACTTTTAAATGGTTAAAATGGTAACTTTTATGTTGTGTGTATTTTATCACAATATAAAAGTAATGACTACACTAAGGTGGTAATGGTTGAAAATAGAAATATAACAAGATTACATTGCAAAAAGAGAATCAGTAAGACTTAGTAACAGATTGTAAGTGAAGGTTGAAGCTGAGGAAAGAAATCAAGGAAAATGCTAAGGATTTAAATCTGAAGTGGAGGCAGAGAAGGAAATCAAGACAAGAAGCTGAAGTTTTGAGGTTTGAAAGAATAGTACTGCCACTAACAGGAACAGGGAGATGGGGAAGATGTGGTTGGAGGGTGGGGCAGATTGAGTTTTAAACATACAAAACCTGAGATGCCAGTGATTTAGAAATTCAGAACTGTTTCCTCTAATTAACCAAGAGAAGCTTTCAAACAGATGGATAGTTTTGGATAATACTGCCAGAAAAGGAAAGATTAAAACATTTAATTACTTTTGGCTATTGAGTATTGTGTTTAATATACTTAATATACCCATATAGAATTAATATACTTCTTTAGTATGTTTCTTAAAGATTTCCAGAACCAACAAATATATATCTTTATGATGCAGTCAACTCATTCTGTGGATTATAAATAGTACACTCTCAAACACAACTGTGTGGATTATTGGGCATAGAGTGGGGGCGGGGCTGCCAATGCAATGTTTATAGCTTTTCCTTGCCTTGTATGCAAATTTCATTAGAGGCTGAGACCATTTATACACTGCAACTATAGCTTCACTTAAGTACCAAAGAAGGATAACTACACTTCCTGGAAATCCTGGCACCATAAATGCAGATGAAGTTGCTTGGTACAGCTCAGTAAACTGGTGGTATACAGGAAATACCCTGAGGTGAACTGCTATAGACATTACATAATTCCCCACAAATCCTAATTTAGGTTTGTCTTTAAATTGTTCACAAAGAAAAGAAAAATGCTCAGTAACAGCTTGAAGAAAACTAAATGATGACCTAAAACATGGAATAATATGCACTACTGAACTACATCATACTGAACTACATACTTAAGATTCCTCCTCCCAAAAAAACACAACAATGAAATTAAAAGCAGATCTTATCTACAGCTTTTGTTTAAAAATGCGACAAAACTGTCATAAAATTCATATGAATTTTATTTAAATCTGATTTATGGGAGGGAGGGGGAAATGCATCATACCAAAACACACTTTTATAGTGCTCTCATATGTTCTCTCTTCCCCAAATGATTGTCTGTCACATTTATAAAAGTCCTCCCAAATGCATGAG